AGCTGCTCCCCCCCGGCTGCTCCCGGGGGCAGCGCAGCTGCAGCTGAAAAGCTGAGAATCTGCAGCTGCGCCAAACAGACCCTTAACCATTCATGCTCCAAAGCTGGCCACTAGACCAACATGTCTTTCTTTTTCATCGACTGAGACCGCTCATTTACTAGAGAATAGAATCTCTTTCAATTCCCGGCTTTCAGACAAAACGATGAGTTAGGGAAGGCTGGACGAGAAGAAGAGTTTGAGTTTTGATCGATGTGCCGATGCGTTGCCCCTCATGAAAACCACCTTGTAGGTCACCCAGACCCATTTCCATGAGCCTAGCTCAAGTCAAACCCAAGCCTAGCCTAAACCCATTTCCACTTTGATCCAACACACTTACCCATGTCTAGACCCAATTGGCTTCACAATTCTCCACCCCTAAGCTCCCTCAGCTAGATGGTGACCTCCCATGGCCTAGCTGGCCACCATGGCCGTCAAAAAACCCAAACCCAAGGGGCTTCACCATGGGTAAACTCAAAGTTGACCCTATCTAATGTGGCTCACTAAGCGCCACTTTGGACCTCTTAGCTTGGCCAATCGAGCTTCATGGTCTAGCCTATAAGAAGAAAACCCCTCACGACCAAAATGGAGGACATGCACAAACCTTGTGGAAACTATCAAATTGCTCCCACACTTCTTACACTTGCACAAAGCTCATTCCCATTGTCCTTAGCCTCTTTTTCCCACTGAGAACTATAATTTTTCCACTGAAATCCAAAGCCTTTTTTGGTTATTCTTGCAAACTCCACAAAACTCCAAATTGTTTGTTCCTAAAGCTTCCCAACACCTTAAAATCACTTACCCAATCAAAATTCCCCTCTCCGGTGGCCTCAAACCTAGTGCTAGACCAAACCTGATACACCTTGCTCTAGGTCCTACCAAGGCTATAGAGAAAATCAACACTTGAAGGAGGTTAGTGATGTCAGGTGAAACTTCTCAACCAACCCAATTGAGGACTCACCTCTTGGGCAAATTTATAGCTCAAAAACTCGGATTTTTGCCTCAGTTTGGCCTTTTATGAAGAGAATGAACAATCCATGTCCACCTAGTCATATAAATATATTCACCTCACTCAGATGAAGCTAACAAACTGCATCAAGTTTTGTTGAGTATCAAAAGAGATATTAGTGTTAGAGTGTGGATAGTTCTTGGGTTTGGGTTTATTTGGGATGACGACCGGATGTCATCCATGCTTATGTATTTAAAATGAATGACAAGGATTAGTCAAATGGTGAATTGAGGCATGCGAAGGGGATGAACCATGGGGTGACGGGGGTGGATGAGGAGTAAAGCACAGATAATAGGAGCGCGCCGCATGGTCTTTCAAATACATCGAGGATGAGGTGGTTTCCACGTGCTTAAGTAGAAAGTTACAGGTTTTGTGATTTAATTAAACTAGAAAATGAAGTAGAACTTCAAAAAATCATATCTTGGTGTAGAAAACAAAAAAAAATAAAAGAAAAATACCCCTATGCTCATTTTCAAAGGAATAAAATGTTTTTTAAGTAGTTCAATCAATTTTTTTATTATTTTTCTAATTATCAACAAAAATAAATATAAAAAATAAAATACAAATCAAAAAAATACAAAATCAAGTTCATTGAGCTCACTAGAGTCAGGGGCACTCAGTAAAAATAAAAGTGAAATAAAAACTAAAAAATGTTTCTAAGTATTTTTTTAATTAAAAATAAATAAGAATTATAAAAATACAATTACAATTCAAAATGTCTCAAAATTTTTCTAATTAGAGATAGTAACTTTAAAGTGCTCTCAAAATTTTTCTAAATTTAGTTGGTCCCTTAACTTTTTGGGAAACTCATGTAGATGACCCGTTAAGCCATTAGCCATAAGCTAGGGTTTAGCCGGGACAATTACATTGAGGACACAAAGTATGGAATTCTATTGGTTCATGACTCAAGTAGGGTGGTCGTGTGGTTGGCAACCCCAATCCTACTAAAATACGTAGTTTAGCCTTTTTACCCCCAAAACCTATCCCAATTTACCAAACAATTCTTAAAACCCCAATTTTGACCAAAATCCCAAAAAATATCAAAAACATCTAATTCTGTCCAAAAATCATTTCAAAACATTTGAAACCGCCTAAATTACCCAAAACACCACAAAATTTTTAAAATTACCAAAATACCCTTGATTTTGCCAAAATTACAAAAATGCCCTTGGTGATCGAAATGTCCCAAAACCTTTAAAATCATTTCAAATGTCCCCAAAACTAATTCAGACCACTCCATCGACCCCAATTTAACAAATTTTGACCAAAGCCTCAAATTGCCTTTAAAGTTCCAATTACCCCATTTCACCCCCAATGTCTACCAATTTGATCAAATTTTTCCTCAATTTTAATTCTAAACTCAAATTAGTCATGTCTAAAATTGATTGAAACCAAATCCAAGTTCAATTAGACCTAATTTAAAACCTAAACCTTAGGCCCAATTTACCCATCTAAGCCGAGAGCCACCTCCCCAAATCAAAACCCCAATTTACCCATCCA